GTGCATCTTAAATATTTCAGATTATGTCCTCTGTATGCCTATGTAAACAAACAATTTCTGAATTAATCTGGAATACAGAAAGTACTGTCTTCTGACTGGTTATATACTAGTCCTTAGAAATTCACTTGAAAACATAAACTCACTCCAGATAATGCACTTGTCTTGCAATGTCATTTGTCTCTGCAACATGTTCATTTCAGTGTGACTGTTAAATTAGTGTTGCTTTATTTTAATGAATACTTTTTTAAAAATTACTAGGAACCGTATATGGAGGGTGTAAATCCATTCATCAAGAGTAACAAACATCGCATGATCATGTTCCTAGATGAGCTTGGGGTAAGTGACTTTTAAAAAAAGGTAAATTTTATTGGAAGCTACATAACAAGAACTGTAAAGAAATTTCATTTAAAGTCTTACTAAATAGCTTAAAAATGGATCAGTTTCCACACAATTTTGAATGCTTATTCCTGAATAAATTTAATCTTATGTGTGTATAGAACCTGCAGATTCCTGACCTGTCATGCATAGTTAAAAGCATGAAATGCTCTATTAGATTTTATTCCTGTAGCACTGCTGTGGACATGCCTTGCCCAAATAGATCTTATCTCCACTGGATTTCTGGTCAAAAATAGCAGGGTTTTAAAATAAATTTTTAAAAAGAAAATTGTGTAATTTGTCCTATGGTTTCAATCAGAGATTGCAAATTTTGATGTTTAAAAAAAAATGCTCTGCTGGATTTGTTATATATCACAAAATGTCTTACTACATGCATTCTAGATGTTGTAGTTTGAGAGAAAATAGCAATTGTAATTATCTTTGAAAATGTTTTGTCTAATAGCTCTATCATACTCAAAGTATAGTATTCAGGAGTTCGTGTATGTATATTTTTAAACCAAGAATCTGTTTTAAAAATGAAAATTAAAGAAATGTGGCTAGCTTCCTTCGTTCCTTGAAAGTGACCTCAAGACATTTCAGAATATTTTGATAATCTATTAAAAATAAGTATTTTAAGGAAGAGCATTCAGGTAGGCTGCCTTATATCACCTTTTTCTGGTTAAATGGAAAGATCTGCATATTATGATGTACCAGTTTTTCTTATTTTAAATGACCGATTATGCATGAAGATTCTGAAAACTGTTGGTTTTAGTCTACTGTTGGATTAATATACTGGTTTAATTACAACATTATTATTTTATGAGTGGTTTTACTGACTTGCTAGATCTTGTATTTTTGCTGCCACTATTGCCTGATTTACATTGAAAAAACCACTTGATGGATCCTTCCTCATTTGCAGGGAGGATAGAAGATGAATCTCTATCCTCTGTAGCTTTCTGGTCAGCTCAGAGGTAGCATAGCAACATCAGACCTTTTAGTAAAATCCTAGTAGGAAGAGACACTGTTACACCTTCTGTGCTTACTCCATATCAAATATATGTGCAGCCATAATTAAATTTCCTCATAAAATGGATGCTTATGAAGATGAGGAAATACATAGTTTCTATTAGATAACAGGGACAGAACACTTAACTGAAGAATAACAGTGTGATACTTGCTTGCAATATCAGAACAAGTGCATTGGCTGGTCTACAGAGCTACTGTTTAATTTCCTTTACGGCTGGGTACTCACCATTCTAAGTCTGCTCTGGTAATTTTTGTTACAGAATGTTCCTGAGCTTCCAGACACTACAGAGCACTCTAGAACTGACTTATCTCGTGATCTGGCAGCCTTGCATGAGATATGCGTGGCACACTCGGATGAACTTCGAACGCTCAGTAATGAGCGAGGTGTAATGCAGGTAAGCTACAATGGTTAACAAAAAAAAATCACACGTACAAATAGCATGTCTTGTTATGATGTAATATGACTTTTTTTGAAATACTTTTGGGTAGCAATATGAGTGTTATATTAAATATTTACATTTCATGAGGAGGTAGCTCTAAAGGTAAATAGCAGTCCATAGTTTCTTTATACAACAAAACAAAAGAGGTTGTAAAGCTGTAGGTGTGTTTAACTTTCCACAGGAAGCTTTTAGTTTCTAGAGGAAGACTAAACTAAAGAAATGACTGTCTCCTGACAGGCTCTCTGGGTCGCTAGTTTTAGTATGATCTTGTGTGGGGATTTTTGGGGTGTTTTGTTTTAAACAAAGTGTATTTGCCTTAGCTTTCTATTGCTACATCATTTCTACTTCCTGATTTATTACACTTGTAAACAAAAATGGTGAGCTTTTCTGGCAAACACACTATAAGCATTCTGTTCCAACTGTTAAACTTGTATACGACTTTTGTGAAAACTTCATTTTTAAGAGGGGGGGAAAAAACACTCAAATGACTTCATGCATTGCCTCCAAAATATTACAAAAGTAATATACTTGCCTATACTCTGTTAATTACGATGAACTTCAAGCAGACAGATTTAATTAGTGTCACTTAAACCATCACTACATATTCAGTACAAATCAAAAGGGACTCTTAGTCTTTAAACATAATGGATTTCTGGGTTTGTGGTGGTTTCTTGTTTTTCTGAATGGCTCACTTTCAAAGAATTCAAGTTTTGGGATAGTTCTTAATCTCACTGTTTCCAAATACTTCTATCTTGACTCTTTAAAAGCCTATATTTAAACCTACGTAGACCATAAACTGATGTGTTTTTGTTTTTTGGTGTTTTTATCTCCTGACACCAGACGACTCAGTATCATGTCATTTGAATAATACATATTTGAGCAGAAAACGTTTTTTCAAACCAGGGGGTTACTGGGAGCTTCTGTTGTGATGTTTACAAAATGCAAAAATATATTTGTATTTAACCTTATTACTTTGGCAGAAGAAAGCTCAACGAATTGAAAATGAAATGGTGTCTTTCATTACAGCAGTTCAAATCTTATCCAGTTTAGTAACTACACTTTGCTTTTTTAGTGGCATATGAGAGGGAAATAATCAACCATGGTCAGGTTCCTAATTCACTCGGAACTAGTGGCCATCTTGAAAAACAAGGCAAAAAAGATGACTAGACCGGCACAGCAGGATATTAGAAGCTTTCAGCACTAAATATATGTGGTGTTGATAGATAAGGGCTATCTTTTTTTTTTCAGAAGGCCTATCCTTGAATAGTATGCATAAGTGGGATAAAAAAAATCAAGGCAAATCTTGAGAAAAATATGAAGTACTTTAATGATTTGAGATGTAATATTACTTCCTTGGTCTGCTTATACCTCTATTTCAGAGGAGAAATTTCTCATGAGTTTCCATAAAGAAAATTCTCTTGAAAGTTGTTTTTCTATCTTTATTCTGTCAATAGCAGCAATGCCTCAAGGGTTCAGGATCACCCTGATATAGTTAAACATAGTTCTACTATGATGAAAAAAATGATTGGCCTCCCAAAATTGTTAGGAGTATACTTTCCCAGCCTACTTATATTACATATGTTCAGTTGCATCTGCCTCATCTGCCTTAGTTCAATGACTGCATTTTCAGAAAGAATTAATTAACAGGAGCACAGTCCTGGCTGCACAGAAAAGTGAACTGTATTACCACCTTTTCTCTTGTCATAGGACTTTTTTTTTTTTTTAATTTTCTTGGCCCAGTTCTGCTTTAACACCTGAAGAAAATTACTGAGAATAGGAAATTTTTTTTTTTTTTTTTTTTTACAGACAGGAAAACTTGGTTTCACTTTGAAACTCTCAGGTTTAGTTGATAAGATGTTGTGTTCGTTCTTTTTTAAAAACGGCCAAATAAAAAGATCCATGAGTGGAGACACAAATATCATCATGATGTTCTACAGTTTCTTTTCAAAGTAATGTCTCAGCAACTAGGGAATCAGAGCTGTTTCCTTTTTGTATATATTTATAATATAAAAATATATGAAATATTACAGAAATATATATTTTTACACAGATAGCAAGTTTGTTAAGCTAACGTTGAAAGTGTTTCTCAGGCAAGACTCTTGTATTTTCTACTTACTAATGTATGGCTGTACTGACTTTTTTTTCTTACAGCATGTTCTTAAGAAGCTGTTGGCTATTACAGAACTGCTTCAACAAAAACAAAATCAGTATTCAGTGTCCAATAACATCAGGTAGCAGCCCTCTACCTGAATTCTGCATGGATCCAGCACGCCCAACATGGCAACTCACACCAGTATCACTTTCTTCTTGCTCTTGCCAAAAATAGCACACTCTGTCACATTCCCAGTGATGTGTGAACTATGCAAAAAGAAAACAAAGATTCTGTTGGTGAATGATTGTACCAGCAGCTTTTTAAGCTATCTGTGCAGGACATTTGCACTTTTTTCCACTTGGAACAAACTTTCACAACCTCTGAGCCTTGGTGTACAGTTCACCTTCCACAAAGAAAATGCTGTGACTGTCTTGAACTTTGAAAATTATTTTCAGCACCTCCAATTGCCAAAGTTTTGCTGTCTTGTTGGAAAAGAATTATCAACTGACAAGGAAAGAAATGCATTGTTTTGACAGCTGCATACAACTGGATAACACTTCTTACTGTAATTTCTGACTGGTTACAATTATTATGACTTTGACTGTTTCAACCACTTTAACTTGTATTTACAGTTTCCAGAGTTTGACGTTATGGTAGGAACAATCTTTGCTGTACACTTTTTATACCATGCTGTTTCTCTTGCTGGAATCATGTTGAAAGAGAATATGCAGAATGGGTCTTGACAGCTTTATTTTTTAATGTGCCACTGATTCAGTCTGAATAATTCTTCCATCAAGGACTGTATATCCAGATAAATCACAATGCTTTTGTAAAATGTTTACAACAGTAAATAATTTGAATTCAGTAAATTTATTGATCCTTGTATCAGACATGCATGCATTCATTAAACCATTTTATAAAATATGTATTTGTTGGTCTTTTTGTAATGTAAGTCTACCATGAATCTTATTTTTATCACTGAAAAATCAGTTTTTAAAATAAATCAAGTTGTAGATAGTCAGTTTATGGAAACTGGTAATTTTGGCTGCTGTGAAAATTTTTTATGGTGTCTACACACATGATTATTTTAAAATGTTCATACAGTGTCACATGTATGGCTTTTAGTAGGACTCTTCCAAGCACCAGCTTATCTGTTACACCATATCACAGACAAAAGCTATGAGTCTGACTAAATAATAATGAGAGGAAACAAAAAAATATTTGCTATCTCACATGGGACAAGAGAGCAAATCTGTTAAAACTACAGAAAATACATGTAGGGAGTTTTTCAGTATTCCCCTTCATGACTTTTTTCCTTGGGACTGACATGGGATAAAAGGATGCAAAGATTAACTGACAAGACTAATGAGAAATTGCATCATTAATTTGAACACAGCTGTTTTACCATTCAAACAACTGTACCATTTGACTGGGAAGAATGTGGAAGGGAAGGTGGAGATGCAATTGTTTTGACTATTGTGTTACTAATCTAAGGCTTATGTATTCCACTAGAGGTTGGACAGAATTGTTATTTGCAGGATTGAGCTACAGCACAACACGTTTAAAGATAAATAATACCAGAAACCCAAAGAGGTGCTGCTGACCTTAAAGCTAAACTTGGTGGAAGATTAAAATAAATCATACTATGGTAAATGTATAGGTTTCAAGTTTTCAAAATAGTGCTGCTTTCTGTCTTCAAAATCTCAATGCCTTCATTCAGTCTAGTCTCTAGACATGTACAAATCAATTATTATGTAACTTGTACTATTTCTAGGCTTGCACAGATAGAACTTCTAAAATTCTTCTAGCCAATCCATATTACTACTGTTTTCCCCTACTGTAAAAATATTCCAAAACTTAGTATCTCCTGTCTATGAGGAAAAGGACAAGAATTACCTCTTGTGCAGTCACTTTCATACTAACTAACTTTATCATTTTTACCTTTAGGTCTTTGCTTTAGTGTTAGTGCTTCTCTCATGGTTTCTGGGCTTGCAACTGCTCCTGCTGTGCTGCCTTGGACTCTTCAGTTGGGCCATAGCATTATTGAAGATGGGTGTCCAATAGTGGATCTTTTGCTGTAACCAAGTGCTCCCATGTGTCAAGAGTGGTATGCTATTAAGTATACTTAATAGGTAAAGGTAACACTCTTAATGTAGCCAAGTAAGACATGTATCTATTTGCATGGCCATGATATCATCAAGTTCCTCTGCAGATCCTCTCCTGTAAAACTAGTGCTTGACTGGTTCCTGTCAAACTTGTGTTAAATTGCAACTTAGAGGAAGAGATAATTAACAACAATCTTGTTTTCAACAATTCTTACAGGTTCTCTCCCCATAATTGTGTTCCCTAATTAAAAGTACCTCACTAATAGAAATATGCAAGTCACAACCCCCACTTGTAGTGTCTTCTGTATTAACTATTGCTGAATGGTCTTCCAGCCAGTCTAGAACCAAACATGCAATTTCTAACAGTTTCAGTTAGGTCAAGTTTTTTGCTTTTGAAGGTGTTGTATAAAGTGAAGTAAAGATATGATACCTACTTGTCTTCCCTGGCTACTCAGCCTACTACCTTGATAAAAAGGCTGTCAATCTGGAAAAATTTGGAAATTTGGAAAGTGAAGTTGACTACTTTTTTTTAATGTAATAGATAAATAGCCAGTGATAAAAATGAATCTAGATAGGTTTCAAAGCTACTTTAAGGTGTGCATATTCTAGAGGAACTAACACCACTGCTTATTTTCAAAAACATGTGAAAATGAAATACTTTAGTTATATACTCTCCAAATATAAGTCAAAGTATGTGTGTTTTTTAAACTCTCAGTTGCCCCTGCTATGTTGGTCACAGCAATTTGAGATCATAGTTGCAGGACTAGCAGCTACAGTAACAAGTTAAGTCACAGCATTTACAACATAAAGTAATAAACATAGCTTCTATCTGCTGCAGTCTTTTTTAGCAGTATATTTAAGTGTAGCTTCAAGAATGCTGAAAAATACAACCTTGCCTGTAACATTTATTTATTTCAAGGACAAGCTTGGGAAGAAGGCAGCACCTCTGGTCTAAAGCATTTAAGTAACTATACCACATTTGTCTCCCACTTCTATTTATCCTCTTTGCTAAATGCAAAGTTTGATATAAGTATGGAAGTTCAGCACAGCAGTAACTAAAGTCAAATCTCAAACTGTTCCAAAGCCAAACTCCTTCCTGAGTAACAAATGCCTTTAAGTAAACATTTCACATTTAGTGTTTGACTTTGAATGGATGAGTGTTTGCTAAAGTAACTAGCTGCAGTTGCACTAAAAATAAATAACAACAACACTATGCTTTATTGTAAAGACATTAAAACTGATAGAACAAATACGTGGTATTGTGAGGTAAGGAACCTGTGGTAGACTTTGAAAGTTCAGCTAACACTTGACATTAAACAGCAGGTAGCTCACACAAGTCCTGGCACCTTGAACTGCACTGCAGTGGTAGAATTCCATCTTCCTTCAGGGTTTAGAGTGAATCTACCAGATCATCATCAGTCCATTCTTCCTAATAGAAGAAAAGGAAAAAGCCATGCCCTGAGCAGTGTATGCAGTTGGTAAGTTTTACAGTTAGGTGGGACAGGCAATAAATAACTACAGATACATGGTACTGCTGCACACTTAACTGTAAAGTTGACTTCTACATATGCTCGTTAAAAATAAACTTAATACAGCCATCTCTTCATATTGATCTTTTTCACCCTATCTATTATTAACCTAGAAATAGTAAGTTTAAACTGCTTTTAAACTTGCTTCTAAACTTGCCTAGTGCAAAACTGGTTTGTCATGTCTAGATTGACACTCATATGTCTGCAGGGACACTTCCTGAGGAAAAAGTAAAGACCAGGGACCATGCTGCATTACACATGCCATTCTACTTCTGATAAACCAGGAAGCAACAACATTGATGATTTAACTTATGGTAAGATTAGCACTAAGTAGAAATCAAAACTGGTACTGGTAGGAGTTGAGTAACTCCTAATGAATGAGATGAAGTGCATGTTCATTAAGCCCATCATTAAAATCTAAAAAGGAGCTTGACTTAAGACCTCATGGACAACAACTACTGTGAACCACCTTCAAGGATGTTCTGTTTACTTAGACTCCCTGTGATCTAGATTTGTGCTCTGACTTCTTCCCACTTCTAAATGGGAGCACAGCATAAAGATTTTTAGGTTTTCCCTAGTTAGTTGCGGAAATCCCATTAAGTTTTTCTTCCTGAGATTATTAAAGATGCATCTTGCCTCCTCAGCAGTATTACCCTGCAAACGACACTGAGCACAATGGGGAAAAAGAGAGACAATGCAGTCAAGTAAATGCAGAGGGAAGATTTTATTTTCAGCTACTAGTGGCTAATCCCAGAACACAGGATTGAAAGCCTCCCAGAAGGAGTCTAATTTCCTGCTTCTACAACCATGTTGTTATGCTTTTCATAAGAAAATTAAAAATCTCAACCCTGTGCTCCTCATGCCCAGGTTTCAGCATCCCCTAGTTGAACAAGCAGGCTGTTTACAGGATTAGTGAAGCCTCAAGGTGGGAGCAACTCTACAGGTACCATAAGCTTCCAAAAAAAAAATTTAAGCCTACTTTTCTTGTGTGTTCATGATTGGCCAGCCCAAATCTGATCCTGCACTAATTACTCCAAAATGAAAGTATATAAACATAAACCCATGGCAGTTCAGATGCACAGTTATTAAGAAAAAGCTCTTGAAACTTACATTTAAATTTAAAAAAAAGTCCTAACAGCTGATCATGAAACATCATAGATTATATTAGTTCATCCAATTTCTTTGGAGAAAAGAATGCGAGTTTAAAAAGAAAAAAAAAAAATTTGTTTGCAAGAAAAATCACAGATCTAAAACTCCTAAATAAGACCTCTTCAAATTGACCTAGAAGAAAAAAATTAATCTCTCAGGCTTAGTTTGGAGTTACTTTCTAGATCATTTTATGAAGAAGTGAAAAAGAAGTTGCTAATTTCTGTAGTAGTAGAAGCTCACATGGCAAAGGTCTGAACAGACATCCATATTCTACAAATGCAGATGTTTTAGTTTTCATTCACTTTTTAGATTGGCATTTGGAGTAAGCTTTAGTCAAACTTTTTTGCAGGGTTATTAGATGTGCCTGAGGTTCCACATTTCATAAGAACATATTTTCAAGAGTCTTTAAACTGCACAAATTTCAACTTAGCTCCACAGGCATCAATTTTCAGGCTGGTGCTATAAAGTGGAACTAGAACTGACCATGATAATTCTGATAATTTACATAAATCAAGGACTCTTGCTAAAGAAAAAAACCCCACCACACACAGAACAAAAAACAATCCTATAAAATGCAGGATGTGTTGTGTGCGCTTTTGAAGTTAAAATTTTGACAGACAACTCTGTTCAAGAGTTCACAAGTTTTCATTAAATGCCATACTTCAGATGTGTCTTAGACCACAAGAATGCAGAATGTGTTCTGCTCTTCAATATCAAGAGATGTTCAATTAAAAAAAGGTTTTTTTGAAATGCTACTCCTCCATCAGAATGTAGTAGTCGTCTATATAATTTGTAACCTTGGCAGGAAATTGTATCTGAAGCAGTACCTTAACTGTATTTTAATTTAAACACCCTCCCAAATCTTTACCTCATTTATAAGCAGTCTTATAACTTAGAGTACAAGCTACCCCTCAGTGTAATTTGTGAAAGCCTTGGTAGCAAATAGCCTGAGGTAGAAATTTAATCTAAAAGCGGAGTCTCTGCTCTGTGCAAAAAGCCAAAAGCAAGTATATGAAAACAGGAAGAAAAAAAAAAAGTCAGCAGAAAGACACCCAAATACAACTTCTGAAAAAAAACCTGTCCGATATATTTTTTTCTAAGATACCCTCATTTGTTTCATCCACAATCTGAGAAGTGAGTTTCCACTATCACTATCTATAAGTTAGGATTTCTCCTCAAGCATTCAGTTCCTGGCTTTCCAAAAGCTTTCATCACAATCTCCAGAATCTCATTTTAAAACTGTTACCTCAGTGGCATAGTGGAATGCAGCATGCTGCATTTACAAGTACTTAGCTTTATGCTGCTCCATGGCTGCAGTTAGACAAGACTTTCAAATCACAGAAAACAGCAGAAAGGATGCCCTGCACTGTCTCCTCCTCTCCACAAAAGACCAGAGTGTTTAAGAACACCCCAAGTACAAGCTAGCAAGAGCTCTGGCTAAAAAAAACAGCTTGAAAGATTTCTGAGCAGCATGTAAATAAATATTAACAGAGGTTAAAACAGTGTCATTTTTGTCTTGGCAGTAAGTAAGATGGTGGAAAAGCAATACCAGTCCAATAGGTTTACTGACCTCATCCATTTTCGATTTCTTTGTTATACACTCATCATCTTCATAACCTTTCCTCTTCTTCCTAGACCCCATCCAGAAAAAAAGTGAAATGCGTAAGCATTTTTAGAGCCATGTAATCTCTTTATTTGACCACAGCATTTGAAATTAGATTAGGTACCTGCTTGCAACATACGAAGCTACCAAGGTCTGAACTAATAGTTTGCTAGAAGTTTGCAGTTATGAGTACTAAAGTGAAAAGGGCACAATATTCTCCAGAAAAGAGAAATCAAGAAGAACTTAAGTTTTGCAGTCCACATATAAGCCTTAAGAAAACATCAACCCAATTTTTCTTTTAATCTTAAAGTGATTTTGAAGCTCTCAATTCCCATTACATATGATATCAAGAGGCCAGGCCTTAAAGTCATCCTGAACTCCAGATCTGTGTTGCAAATAAACAAACACTACTAGTGCTTGCAGTGCAAATCAGCACAAAGAATGTATTTATGCATTGCTGAAAGCACTACTAGAAGCAAAGAATCAAGTAGCAGAAACTCACACAGCAAGAATTTGAACAGACATCCTCATTTAGATGTTTTAGTTTTCATTCACTTACATAGATCAGACAAAATTAAAGTTTCCATAATAGTAAAAATGCCAGAAAGTTAAAATATTAAGGAGGAAGCATTAAGTAGCTACTTACGGGTTTACATTAAGTGAAAGCTCCGAGCTGTGACATTTCTCTAATTTCTGTTTTAGAGCAGCAACCTCTTCAGGCCTTGGTAGTTCATATTTCTTTATGAGATTTTTCATGCCTACAATGGCAACAACACAGCCCTAAGCAAATTAAATAATTTCTGTTCCACCGTGTGAATTACACAAGGTGCCATCAATCAGTACTACGGCTACTGTTATTGCTCAGCCCTTATACTTAAGCTTGGACCAGAAGTTTACAGGGCTTTCCCTCTTTATAAGAAGAGGCACAGTATACACTTCCGAGTAGCTTCTACTAAAAAGGTTTCACCCAAATTAGGACAACATACAAGGAAAAACAGAATTTAGAATCATAGATGAAGTCCATATCTTTGTTAGGTTTGAAAGCATCACATCCAGTTTTTAAACAGGCTTCAGGAAGCTACAAGGCAACATGCAACATACTACAAGACAGTTATAGATAGAAAGCTTACCAAATAAAATCCTGGTATTTGTCAAAGTAAGCATTAGATGTTCGGGGAGCATTGACTACTATCCTGCCCCAAAATTGCTTCATAAACAAATCTCAGCCAAAATATCCTACCCTATATAATGCTCCAACTTCAGAGAATCCAAGATTACACCTGTAAGACTTAACTGTCATCTTACACTACAGGATTCATTCTAAACAACATCAAGATACAATAAAAGCTCAGCACAAAGAACTATACTAAAACAAGTTGTTAGCATCGTGAGTCTGGACTTCCTCAAGGCAGGTGAAAGTGATGCAGAGTTCACATTGCTGTGCTAACAAGCATCAGCATATGCAGGCACTTTTTGCATTCAGCATTGTACCTCAGTATTTAAAAAAAGGGAGATTGGTTTCACTCTTGTTAAGAATGCAAATTTAATTTGCATACCCTATAAGAAACAAGATACTTGCTTTCACTACCATCAGTTCTCTCATCTACTCATTTATTAATAACTTGAATGTTTCAAGACTTCCCTCCAGTCATTATATGTTTATAGAAGAGTTGCCTTTGGGCAAAGGCTATATTCTAGAATGTTGCAAGTAACAAGAAAGTGAGCCCAGTTTTCTTTCTGCTTCTTACTACTGGAAGCAGGAAGACTAGACTGGAAGCAGGAAGAGAAAGGGAAGAATCTTACGTTTACAAATTCAATTTAGATTTAAGCGTAGACACTGGTGACTAGTGTGATATATTAACTATTAAAGTCAACTTATTTGAAAGACTTCAGTTTAATGCTCCCACACTTCCATTTTATATGCATGCATTCACTTAGACGTTACAGAACTGACTACTTACTGAAATTCAGTAACTCAGCCTTTTTATTTAAATAAATTTAATCATCATAGAATATACTACAACCCCTAATGTTCTAGCAAAACCATGTTAGCATTTTTGAAACTGCTAGTATTAAATATAAAAGGTACCCTCTGGTGGCAGAAGTAGTTATGTGCAGGCTTTTGCCAGAAGCTGCACGTGAAGTCGCAGTGACTGAAAGGAAGTATTTCATCCTAAGACTTAACAATAGAAGTATCTAGTGCTCAAAACAGATTTCGCACTTTTGAATATAGGTTAGTTACTAGCATTTAACTGACTACAATTCATTAAGCATTTTTTGTTTGAACTTCATTTGTTTATATCAAAGCTAACTTTCAGTGTTTTCTCCTCCTGCTAAATGCTCCATTTTACTGTCCATGATTTACTTAACACTAGTCCTGGAATGAAGAAAACTGTTTAAAGCACATTCTTCTGCTCAAAGCTTTTGCTATTTGGAGGGGAAAAAATATTTTTCCTTGAGAGACAGTTCATCATATTTTTCCAGCGTTTACTTACATTTCATGCCATCTAGTAGCTTCGCTAAAGATGGTCTGTTTTCTTTGAGCATAAGACTTTCAGATAAATAACTGTAAAGAAAGATGAAAGAGCAAGTCTGAAGTTCTCATAATGAGTTATAGTTATTTATGGCATCTACTACTAGTCAAAAAAATCACAATACTATTTATCATTTATGCATGCTAAAGCTTTATAATTGGACTTAACAACACTTTTGTTAAATAAATGCTATAATCTGATTTTAAAAAGAAAGAAAGAAATCTCTTGTCACTTCTATTATTCTTCTGTAACAATTTAACAAAAGCATTTTTTTGGCCATCTAAAGAATCCAAGTTCCTACGTTGCAAAATTAAACATTTGTAAACAAGCCTTGTTAGGTCAGCTCAGGTTTCAGATTTTATGAAATGTCACACTAGAATCACACTGTTGCACAGTATGACTGCTGGAAAAGCAAATCCTACAAAAGAACAGTTTTCTGACAGATAAATGGACAGGAAAGTTTGAGAGATGAGACTGCTTCTTTTGGCAGCTGCATGGCCTTGACCCTAACAAAAGAAAAAAAAAAAATCAAATCTGAAATGTTCTCTTATAAAGTCTGTAGAACCCTTCCTCTTCCGAGAAGGATTTAAACTTCCTTTTAATAAGGACATTAAAGCAACAGGGTAACACCATTATTTAGGCATTTTATTTAGCACGTGCTAGTGTTAAAAAAGGAATTTCACTGCAAATAATGAAACCATGGTACACAACCTCATTAGAGTAAAAATTTCACAAATACAGAGAGATTACACTTTTAGCTTTGGCACTCACCTTATTTAAGCTTCCAAATCTTAAAAACAAACGAATAATATACCGCCCCCTCAAACACACGATAAACCACAAACCACACAAGCAACACCAATTCCACAATAAGCAAGTAATTTTTCCTTTTCTTGGGAAAAGGGGTACTTATGGATAGAATACAAAAAAATCCAAGACTCCAAACCCTTTCAGTGTGCATTATCTTCAACTTTAGTTAATATACAGACATACAGAAGTGTATCAGTTACAGCTCCCAGTCTGAAGTGATAGCCACCAAGAAAACAATTACTCTAAGCTAGTAGTTGCTCTGTTGGTATCACTGCTCTCGTAGAACTCAATTTTAGCAAAAATATTTTTTGACCTTCTGCTGATACCATAATGAAAGACTGATCTGGAGCCAACTGTTCTCTAGAGCTCTAGTGCCAAGAGTGGGACTTGTTTTTCTTGAAGCTATAACTCTTCCTAGACTGTCCTACACATCACTTGCATTGTGCAAGTGACAGACTTGCAAACCGTTCAGGTTCCATCCAGCCTGTCGCACCTCCACACGCACGCACACACCCATCAGCCCATAAGATGGGAACTGCAGCATTAGTTTCAGCCACGTCCAGCAGCTCATAACTTCATTTGGAATAATGAGCGACTAGGTTACAGCAGTTGCATGGGGCAGACACGTGACAGATTCAGCTTTTCATAAACATGCAGACAAAAGTTCACATACCTTAATTCACACACTGTTTACTATTCCAAGTCATTTTCATAAGCATGCTTTTCTGAATCACAGCATAAATAGTACAAATTATAAATTTAGGAATGAAATCAACAACTTTAAAGTTAGGATAAGGACCTGAACATTTTTATGCTGTTCTGAGAGGACAGTTAACACAGCACGTGGCATTCCCCCACACTAACTCATTCTTTTAGGAAAGTCACCTTTTATTCCTCCCTAACAAAACTGAGATTCATTTACAGCAGATGGAGGGAAACTTTCTCAAGAAAGCACGGCTTGCCCTTTTACCTCAGAAGTTACACTCCAGATGCAAGACACTTGCATGGAGCATCATCTGATGAGCAAGACATTCAAGAAGTAGCTGCTATAAGCTACATCTAGCTATATTAGTTATATTTTTGGAAGGAACAAAAAGTAACCTTTAGTCCTTGAGAAGGGGTAGGAGGAGGAAAGGCAAATCAACACATTTTAGCAGTAATATCAAAGTGCTTGATGATGCCTTTGCAAATACAAATAGAGAGGACCACAGAAAGAAAAGAGACCGATTTAAAAAGCACCTTCTCATTAGTCTGTTTTCATGGAAATCACACTGTTGGATCAGCCAAATACAGCAGTTAACAGTTTCTGCATACGTAGCTGTCAGTTAAAGATAAATTCTATTTGACTCTGAATTCTTAAATACTTTTTAATCAGCAAGAATTTTGTGTTTTCTACCCTCAGTTCCCCTTGTTTCAGTTTTCTTCACTCACTCTTCAAGATCAGTCTGAAAATCTTGTTCTGTTTTAACTAGGGCAAAGCAGTCAGCTGGGAGAAGGGAGGAAAAGACAGACAACTAATCATATATGTCCTACTTTTGTAATCTGGAAAAAAATAAAAATAGCAATGCTTCAGTTTTGAAAGCTTAGTTAAAGAATGCACCACGTGTAAGTACGTATTTACTGATCATTAACACGCTTACTATTTAGTAACGCCTAAAACAAAATAGTGTTTACAATGTACTGTTACAATACAGGAAGCAAACTGTTTAAAGAATACCTATCAAAAAAAAAAAACCCACCTACCTTTCCATATTAATTCCCGCTCTTGAAGCACTAGATAATATAGCAGCGAGAGCTATTTGTGAGGGAGTAAAGAGCAAATACGCATCTGTCAGAGCTACTCGATTGAGAAAGTCATCGGCTGTTTTCCTCAAAACTTCAGGATTCTCCAACATTGGATAGCGAGTCTGAAAAATAAGCAAGTATTTATGGAAGTAGGCATCTTCCCTGATCTTCTGGTTCAAAAGTTCCAAATACACAACTCCATAGTGCTGCCTGAAGGGAAAGGATAACAGATCATCTTATTCTGAAAGATAACCTAAAATGCTTAAAGACCATAACATAACACATTTCCTTTCAGACACCTGCCTATTTATCATTTTAGATCTTTGAAAGCATAGAGACAAATAACTTAGTTTTTTTAATACAATCCCCAAGATGTTTGCACTGCATCAGTGTACGAAATATGTAGCATATAAAACAGTATTACCTTCAAATCGATTAGAAATCCCTCAAACGGTCTGTATGGATTGTGCACAATAAGATGGAAGTTCAGCTGCTGAATAAGTAGTAGTTCATATTCCAGGATCTGTTCAAGAGCTTTTTCCTGCCCAAGAGGGCTTTCTCGAAGGTTACCAACAAACTGTGCACTGGACACATTAAATTCATCTACTTTACAGGCCAAAAATGCACACGTTAGCCTTGAGAAGGAAAATAAAAATGAAATGAATGGGGAAAAAAAAAAAAAAAGAACAATTGACATTTGCAAGCACCCATCTTCTTATCAAAAACCTGTTCAGAAAAATTAAATCTTCACAACACTATGTTTAGAACACAGTAAGCGTCTCCAAATGAAAATGGAAAGTGACTATTTTCTGTCTTTACTTGTATTTAAGCTCTTGAACTTCCTTTCTCATTTCTTCAATCTTTTACAAGTATCAATATTATGCTTGTAATATTCTCCTAAATACAATAACTCAAGATGTGTTGATAACTCACATTATTATCCGAGGATGATATTCCATCACTGAGTTATTGAGGTAAAAGCGTTTGAAATACATACAAGCTGTTCCCTAAATTAAAAAAAAAAAAAAAGTAGAACAAGTAACTTTGAATATACACTTAAGACATAGAATACACTACAGCTACAAGTAAAAGCACATGTTGCCATGTCAGTAAGTACCTCATAGTCTAACATTATTCCTGTAAGAACTTTACAAAGCGGTAGTTTGGTCTTTTTTTGCTCCAGATCAGAGGCTCAGATCCAGACTTTTTCCTACAACTAGATTTCCAAGTTGATTTGAACCCTATCAGGGTGAAACCAGGTATTCAACATTACTCAGCATGCATACTCTAAAGGGGCTACTTCTCAAATACAATGCCAGACTCAGTATACCATGTAATGGCAGCCTACCACTACGTCTCAAAAAGATGTTCAGAAGAGATGCTTTTCAATCTTATTGCTCAGCACATCAACTAAAAAGAGGGAGACTGACTGGGGCCAATATAAGTAAGTTTTCTTAATGACCAGGTAACAGAAGAAGCACTGATTTCATTCCCTGCTTCAGTCATAAATCCCTACTCTCTTTCCTGAGTTACAGTCTTCTGATTTTAACATAAATCTCTTCATAGACTTTTTTTTTTTTTGGTAATTTAACTTACTGCCAGTATAGGTGCTTTAACCAGTGTACTCTGAGGTCAGACACACACTCATGCTGTTGCAAAAGAAGCAAGTGGACCAAGCAGCCAAAATGCAGGATTCAGCAATGAGAGTGTTTTATTATATCATCAATCTATTCATTTTCAGGTTCATTTCTATTTCTTGCTTAGGAGAAGAGGGAAGGAAGAGGTTAAAACCCAGCCCTTAAAACAAGCAACAAATGAAGCTGAGAAACAATTCTCTGCTTTTGAAAGTATCACACTCCTCAGAAAACAGACAAAAGAAAAAAGCGGTTTGAAACATGATCTACAATATTGAAGGAATAAAACACTCAAAGGATGTCTGTACTTTCAGAAATAAAATAAACAAGTAGCAAGTGAAGGAACAAGAGACAGAAAAGACAAAGCTTGTAGCTTCATTAGTCATCACACTTTAGACACTTCTCACTGTTAGCACATCAAATCATACCGAAGAGGCAGTACTGTCTCAAACAGCCACCTCTTGACAGAAGTGTCTGAAGCATCATTAAGGGAAGCATGTTTCTCTCAGAGCACAGAGCCAGGAGATGGAAGAGGAAAATCTTGAGAGAGAGCCACAACACTTGGCTTACCACTACAGATCTAGGCATTGCAGGCTTAAACACAGCACAGAAATCCAGTAACCTTTTCTCGTAGTATTTGCATATCGTCAGCTCCTCATGAGGCTCAAGAAGGAAAGGGTCAGTCTGCTGAAC